AACCTCAGTTCAGTTCTGTCAGGTCCAAGCGAGGAGCCCGGCCAGGCGAGCACTTGCAGCTTGCTGCTCCCGATGTGTCTGTGCCCATAGTTGGTGTCGTAGCTCTGCTCCTAACCCTGCTCCTCACCCTGCTCCTAACTTCCCCTCAATATCTAGCAAGCAACTGCTAGACCTTCTTACTGTCAATTTTTCAAGTCTAATCAGGGATTTTAATACAAAACATAAATTAGCTGACATCAGCTAATTTGAAATTAAATTGATGATCTCACTTATGACTTCAGGTCAATAAGTACTCATAAACTAAGGGAAACACTGTATTATACACATTAATGTGCAAGTAGAAGACGTATATTAGATGACTCCTTTTAAGTCATACTTCAGATACACACAAAGATTCACTAGTGTTAGACATAAAACAGCAAAAAAACGAAACTACTAGAATTGCCCTCCTGTTCACAGCTGGTAGAACTTAAATCATGTTCCTCCTATTACACCATTCCAGTGGCCTTGGCATCACTTTTTTTTTTTTCCCCCTCTCCCATTTCCTTTGCAACTTTTGCAAATTTCCCAAGTCTAATGATTCCTAATCCTACAGCTAGGTTATACAGTTAGCTAAAAAAAAAATCATTTTTATTTAGATATTTTAAATATAAAATACATTCAACCCATCAATAGACTTCTTTTTTTCTGTTGATAAGAATAGAAAGGTCTGTGATTCAATAAGAGCTATAACAAATAGATACAAGTGGTGAAGAATCCAGGTGTCAATAAGCAGAGTAGATCAGGCTAATCTGACAAAGTGACTCTGTGACAAGTCACATACACAGAAAAAGTTTTTAGTTACCACATGCATGCAAAGAGCTACTTGATAAGACGAGACTCAGCAGCTTCACTGGGCACACAGCTTCCCAGGAACACGGCCTCAAGGGCTCAGCCTTTGCTGGGCAGCCGTGAGGCTCCTTATCGCCAGTGCTGCAACACTACATATCCACTGAACAATCCCTACGTTGCATGAGAGAAATAAAGGCAGCCCAGAAAAGCTAGTTCACTCGCTAGAAAACAAAAATTACTTTCCCAGGCAACAACTTCATTGAGAAACCTATTTGGATCTCACAGCTATTCAAAGTTACCCAGAAAGACCCCAACCTTTTAATAGCTTAAACAATGTCTTTTACTTGTATTTTCCTATCAAATTTATATACATACATCAAAAATACACATATGCTCCATCCAACCAAAATTAACAGAACACTGATACAATAAAACTTCTTTATACAGTACAGACAGCTGATTTCTGATTTCAAAAGCAACAGAAAAAGAAACACCAAGCAGAAAGACAAAATGTTGCTGTTTGTGCTCTGTCCCTTTTGTAGGATAGCACCGACTCCAGCTGTTCCCACTTCAGTTGCTGCTCCATGTGACGCTCATGACTTTAGGGAGGAGCCTACAAAAGCCTGCCTGTCCAGGTGATAATATGTTAGTGTCGCATTTGTTGATAAGTGACAGTTGATGTAGATCAAGAATGCTTTACCTGACTACTTCAATTATCTGCTTTGTTTCACACTCTAAAGGGGGGACAATTGTATTGGGCTTAGGCTTTTTAACAGCAAGCTGAACATATAAAAAAAAATTAATTTAAATCTAAATAAAAATTAGGAAAAAAAAAAAAAAAAACAAGTACCTTGTCCACTCTACTATAAAATCTCTAGGGGGCTAACACAGTTAATGCAGTACCCAGAGCTAACAGGCAGCACTTCCTGCAGTAAGATAGTTGTAGTTAGCAAAATATTTTTGTTTGCATACACTCGTCTGTGCAATATGTGTTCATGTTTATTTCATCATAGACAGTACTGTGCTTGTTGCTACAACCTGATWACAAAAATACATAAATCTATGGTCTTTTCGGGATGCTTTTTTTTACAGAGTTGCTCATGGGATATCAAAAGCAGGTTTGGTTATGTGGCATTGTTTTCAGCTCCTCTGGTAGCCTGACTAAACTCAGCTGCTCTGAAGATTTACTTTTCTAAATGTCTCTAAGCACTTGGTATCTCCCTATCAAAGGTACCTAATTATCAGGCTCCAAATGATCTTGGCAGGGTTTAGCTGCAGTGTTTCTTTTACTAGATGTCTACAGCTCAAGGCCTAATGCAGAAATAACACCCTTCCCCCTTGCTGCAATTTTAGATGTTCGTATCAGCAAATGATAATAAAAAAAAAGGAATGAAAAGAAGCCCCACATACAGGGACAGAAGGTAACGCCCTGATGTTGGCACCAGGCAGGCACCTGCTAATGGAGCAGTTTGGCATGAGCTGGTATGCAGCAGGGCTGTGCTGGCTGTCCAACTAGGAAGCGGTTGGGAGGAAAGGAGCACCCTGGTCTCAACATGATTGCGGAGCAGGTGGGGCCAGGAACGCATTCAGCGATAACTCACTTCATGGAGGTGAGGAAACRATAACACAAAGCTCCAGAGTTAACTGGGCGGGCCTGTCAAAGGCAAGGCACACAAAATGTTGCCATGGTTATTGAGTCACCCAAAGAAAGGGATCTGTGCTCACTCTGAAGCACAAAGGCTCAGTGGTCCCTCAYAAGGGCCCCAGGTAGGGACAAACATCGAGCTTTGCAGCCTGGTGCCAGCAGGGAACACAGAGCACAAATGGGCACAGACCATGGGGGTGACCAAGCGCTTTSGGAGCCACCTACGCTGGCTGATCCCTAGAAAAGGTCTCGCAGGAGTTCAGYCCGATTGGTTTATCACTGTCTGCTCCGCATAATGGGCAGGCTAACTGAATTTATTGATCCTCAGTTATTTTCAATCCTCCATGCTTCATTAGTTCAGGCAGCCRATGTACATAGTCACAGTCCAATAAGTCAGTTTCCAGAGCTGTTGCAAATACGCATTTGTAGTGAAAAATTTGCATTTTAGGTCTTAACAATAGACAAAACCCAATCTGCTTAGCTTTTATACATTTCAGGAAAAAAGTTATAAATTATTGCACAACATAAATACAATATTGCAAAGTTATATTTTCAACGGATCATAGCTTCTGCGTTGGAAATAGTACAACAAGAACAAACAGCAGTCCTGCACTAGGAAAATGATTTTTTTTATGTGCTCCTCCTACCGCCTTGACTCTAATCCGAAATCTTACTCTATAACTAATGAATTTAGAGTTATGCAAGAGAAGAAAAAGAGAAAACAGGAAAGAAAATGAACACAGTGACCAAGCAAATATCTGGCTGTTAGGAAAAAAATAATTAGCACCTATGAAGAAGAGAACCTAGCTTGAAGAATTTTAGCACAAGGGCAGTAAGGGCAAGGAAAGTCACATTACAACAGAGACGCAGTCTCTGGTGGGTCATTTGAATTTCATCTGCAGGGTAATTTTCACGCCATTTAGCCATAGCCACAGCAGCAATAGAGAGGCCTAAACACATTATTAAAATGACAAAGTCATACAAGGAGGGATTGGGGCATGCAGGGCATTACATTTGATAAAATTCAATGATACGGTAGGCTGAGCTAGTAACAAATAAGGATCTGAAGTGTTTAGAGAAAGATACCAAATGCTGCAAGAGAAGGGGCTGTAGCAGACTGATCTAGGGGCCCTGGCACACGGAGAAACTGTGAGCTAGAAAGAAGAAAAGAATTCCGGCCTCAAAAAAAACCAAAATAACACAATATCACAACCAGTTAACAAGGTTGACAGTTCACACACTCTGTGTGGTATCTGTTTATTTCAGATAGCTCAATGAAATACAGTATTTCCATGAGTATTTATACACTGTTAGACCCATTAACAACTAATTAGTGGATTTAGGGCTTGAGAAAATAGGCTTTATTCAAAATTTTTGCTTCCCTTGAAAATCCAATAAGCCTTTCAGAACAGAACACAAATCTCAGTCCTGTAACCAAATGGATGATGTGGCAAAGAAACGATAAGAGGCTTTCTTTCGTATCACAGGATTCAGCGGAAAAACAAATGCAATTGGACAAATTGGTCTGTAGTGGGCTTGATGAGATTCCCCAGCCCAAACAGGCTTCCTATTCTGCAGCAGGATTAATCTAAGATTAGAGCAGATGCGGATAACACTGTCTGTCCTCCCATGGGATTTCCAGTGTGCAAGAGTAGCCCTAACTATGTGGCTAGGCTGTGCAGCACCTCCTCTTGGTGTGGTTTTGCCATGGGCTCGTTGGAGTCACTTCAGCTCCCAACAGGCTGAACAACCCCWCTCTTGTTTTATGCTGTAGTGCACTGTGTAATGTGGCCTTTTGATTTACAGTGAGTTAAGCCTCTAACAAGGAGAGAAACATGTTGATGTGGAGGARATTTAACATAATATTATGGTATATCCAGCTATACAGCCCTACCTAATGCTGCCCACTTCCAGCAGGACCCGTGCTGGCAGCTCTCATTGCACAGGCTGCTCTCCAAGCTGTTCGTGGTTTGGCCCACAAGGGTTATTCCTGCTCAGCACAAACCCAAGAGGCTTGCCCAGGGGAACAACTCACCCATGCACAAGAAAAGCCCTTCATGCAACCCAAATTGCTGTCCTAAACCACAAGTCCTGGCAGGATGGCACTTTCTGAAGCAGCGAGGGGCGGCCACTGCTGGGTGCTGCCTTAGTACAGGCAGCCACTGGCCGCTGGCACAGGCACACAGGCAGCCCAGGAGCCGATGCCRATTTCTTTTTATGGTGAAGAACATGAAGTTTCATTTTCAATGGCAAGGTCTGGCCTACTAAGTTTTACACACCTAAGAAAAAAGGATGCAGATTATTATACCCTATATATGCATCATGGGAGAATTCTCTTTCAATCATTTCTTGAATATCTATCTTTAAGATSTGATAATGTACAAATACAAAGTAATACTGTGAGCAAAGCAGTATTCACATATACATTAAAGAGGAGTTCCTGAGTGTAGAAGACAGTATAATTTGGAGAGCTTGAAAAGATTTTCAGTTTTTTAAAGTTGAGACTTGATCCACCATTCATCAATGAAAAAATTTAATAAATCCAAAATGAAAAACAATCAGATGACAAAACACACTGTCTGGTAGACCCTATGAAAAAATAAGATTCAATTGATTTGACCAGGCCATCACTCCCTAACCATTTAGACAACTCGCAGCACTTGCTGGAAGGAYAACATAGAAATCAGTCACCTCATTTTTCCCATATGCTGTTTAAGCTGCTACCATTTTAGGAATACTTGTGTTCATAGCATGACCTAAAAATGCTGTTTTTATTTGATTTACTCTTAAATATCATGTCCTGACTTGTGTAGACTGGAGTTCAATTCACCCTGCCTTAGCAGCTAGGAAATATGATACAGAAACAAACAAGATGATAGTTCTACAGAATTTAAAATTAGCAAGGACTATCATTACCTCATTTAACCTTGTGTACATAATAGGCCAAAATTTACATACTAAACATGTGCATGAAGCCCATATGTCCATGTCTGCTCAAAAGCATTATCACCTAAAGAAAATCCAGCTTTGTTTTAAATGCTTCAAGCAACAAAGCCTCAACCAAAGCTGCTCTCAATTTTTTCCCATAACTAATCATAATCAGTTTGAAAAATGTGCAACTTGATTAGTTTATCTACGTGTAGCTTTACTGCCAGTCATTATGGGTTTTTTTRGTAGATAAAAAACCAGGTCACTATCTTAGTTTTTTACATACAAAATTGAGAACCAATTGCTAATGTATCAAGATATTCGTTTGAATAAAGTGAGACAGAATAAGAAAAATACTACTTTTTCCAAAAGGAATATATCATTTTCACTTGATACAAAGAAACTAGCAGTAACACACCTGAATCAGCAAGACCTAGTCAACACCTTGGCCATGATTTCAGGTCATCAAGGAATAATCAAAACCAGCTCTGTTTTGAGAAACGATTCTCAGCTGCTTTGTATAAGTATATGCTTTAAAAGGTAAATACAGAACATAATCAGATTCCCTACTCACACTTACCCAGTGCTAATTATCTCCCCATCCCTCACCTGTGGACTCTCCTTGATGTGCACATAGTTACACACAAGCAACTCCTGGGAGAACYGGCCCCATAGACACTTGAAATGCTGTTGATCTGATTACCTTYGGAAACTTATGGTTATGAAAGACAAAGCATTTATAGATAAATTCAAATGCCAGTTTCTTCATGCAAGGGTAGTATTTATGACTGATTTAGGTACGATACAACAGGTAACCACTAAATGTAGTGACTGGTGGATACTTGGCAGGGATAGAGCCAGTTGCCAGTCTAAGCCAGACTTCCTGACCATAATTCAACTCTAACAAGGCATTTCCAGTAATTACCCTGTCAGTATACTTGTTACTATTAATATTTTCAACCTGGAAAGTGAGTTTGTCTATTCCATCAATGACTAGATAGCCAGAGGCTTGTGGACTAAAGGATTCAATGGTATATTCAAAAACATAGACCCCAAGATACGGAACGTGAAACTTCCCAGTTGCTGGAGCATACGATGCTCCGTAGTTGACATCCAGATGGTTAAACTTGATGGGCCCTGGTGTTGTCATCCCATAGGTATGAGAGGCAAAAAAAGCTACCATAGGTGCATATCTRTATGATCCTTTTGAGAAATCTGGAAAAGACAAAACTAAGTTTTAAATCATATTCTTCATCTTGACCTCCTCATATTACACTGTAGATGGGCCAGCTAGAGTAGCATGAAGATAAGAAAGGGAACAAAGATTTTCTGAAATTGCATTTGCCAAGAGCTTAAGCAACTAAAATGAAAGCTAAATAATTTCTTTCTGTATTGTAGAAAAAGTAATTTCCTTCACAACTAGTGCAAGGTATATTCACAAAAAARCCCCACAGATTTTAGAAACAGCAAGGGAACTTTAGGCTTGATTATGCTATATTATTAAATGAATTGCTATTTTTCTTTTTTTTTCTCTCCATTCCCCCCCTACTCTGCTCTGTTCATACCCAGGATTTCTTTCCCTGTATCACAAGCCTCTACATAGTATTTGTGTATGCTGAAGCCAGGAGTTTTCCTTGTCATCTTAGACAAATATTGGAGAGATTTAGCACTCTTGACATTAAATACGGAAATAAAAGTCTGGTTTTTTTTATTACAACTGAGCATACACACATAAGATTTCTGGYACTTTAAAAATCATTTTGTTCAGTATTTTTGTGTTGTCATAAATGAGAAGCAGCCAAACAGATGCTGAAAGCTGCATTAAACTCACATTTGATGTGCCCAGGATCTAAATTATTTATTTGTTTTCCAGACTGAACAAGCATAGTTTCTACATCCCCTTTTTCAAACATCATTCAAGGGCTGCGTCCTYTTCCACTGAAAATGTATGCACCTAAAATGACTCCTTGAGGCCATAGCCCCAGATATGACAGGAACTATTGGTATTTATACTGCTTTTCTTGCTGTGCTGAAGCTAGTATTCCCCAGTGATCTGATTTCATCTCCCCTTGAATTCCATGATGTGGTGTTCCAAGATATCTATTTCACAGCCTCTCTCAGCGACCCCTGCCTAATTCAGCAGGGAGCTTTCTGCCTATTGCAGCTGGTCCCAGCCCAAATTAATCCCATCGTTCAGGCATATTAGAGAAAAAGATCCTGRGGTCCCCTTGGGGATTGCTGCCTTGAGCACCAAAGCACAGGACACTACTAGTTGAGTCGGCACTCATTAAAATGAAATGTGAAACCTTTGACCAGCAAACACTGTCTAATTAGACCCCGGGGCAGAAGCCCATAACACCAGCTTATTGCACTACTAAATTTTTTACTTGCCTACATTCAGAGAATTGTCATCCACCAACTTCATACTGCAGTTGACTCCTCCAAAGGGGTGACGACAAGCACAGATAAAACTGTTTCTGTCATTGATACAGGTTCCTCCATTCTGGCAGGGAGAACTGACACAGGCTGAAAACTCTCCTGTGGTAAAGAGGAAGGAAAAAAAATAACTTCAGCTGAAATGCCATGTGCATATCTGAACATTCACTACAAGGCAGCCTCTTTACTATTCATAAGGAGGGTGGAAATTCTTTGGAGCCTGTGATGCTCCAAAGACGCTTCTGATGCCCAGATGGTATGCTTMTGATAGCCAGAATTACCTACAAATACAGAGTTCTGCTTGTCTCCCTGACAGTGTCTGATGCAAGATGAAGGATACTACAAAGCCACCCAAGGCAGGCTGGCCCTAYGGGTGGTCCTCAGGCCAAAACCTGTTTGGAGGCTGCTCATTTCCTCCCACACAGCAGTGGCTGCTGAGAATCCAGCTCTTCTCATCACAGGCTGACACAGAAAAATGCAGCCCACCCYGCACTGGCTGTTCACTTCCCCCTTCTAGCTGGTGGTCACACCAGCAGCTGATAATTTTGTGCTGAACACTGCACTGCTGCCTTAACCCGTTTCCTCTCTTGTGTATGGTAGCTCTCAGACATCAGAGCAAGCCAAGACAAATGTGATTATTCGGCAGTCTGTGATCACATGGTTAAAGAAATATGCCGAAGGAGCTAGTTAATCTGTACCAGAGAGAGAACAAGCTGAGAGGCTTGGAGGTGACCATACCACAGTAGTCCTTTTGAAGCAAATAGCAAAACTCCAAAGAGGGAATGCAGTTGAATCCAATTTTATTTTCTTCTTTTGGTGAAGCACAAGTAGTAATTGTCTTCCTGCAACTCCAGACCAGCCTGGGCTTTGCTAGCTTTCCTTGGCACAGGCCTAGTAGGCTCCCTTGCACAGCGGAGCTGACTCGGTTTGGGGCTTCCCACACTGAGCAGCTGCAATACCAGTGCTGCASTAGGGCCCTCGCCTGTGACATGGCTCACTCCCGTGTCCCAGTAACTGAGGATAGTCTGACTACCAGGACTAACACCTCCAGCGCTATCCAAATGGCTTCCAGGACTTGCCTTTACCTATGAATACATCAATTGTACTACCATTGTAACAGAGTCCTACAGACTTTTCACAGAGACTGCAACTCATCCGCTCACACTGCAAGCGACACCAGTTAAACAAAGCAAAGGGATCTGCAGAGCATCCTCACAGAGGAGGCCCTAGCCACTCTTCCTGAGTACATCTCAGCTGGCCAAACTGTGCCCAGATGGCACTGGGATCTGCTGGCTTCCGAGCTGCAGGGCAGTAGCTGTTGAGTGGAGTTATATAACATTTTGTTATACTAGTTTTTGAAGGAAAAGCATTCAGGCTACAATAAAAATGAAATTATTATAAAAAGTATCTAATTTACACAAGCCATCTATAGATTTAAACATTACTCTCAGGACATAAACTTATACATTTTTCCCTTTTTCTTGCTTTAATAAAACACAAGCCAGCTATTTTAGAAAACGAGATTTTCCTTTGCCTTTACTTATTTTGATCRACCAGCAGAAATCTATCAAGAGAATCTCCAACCAGAAAGAAAAAGCATAGTCYTATGTGGCACATATCTAAAATTGCTAGATGAGAGCATCAGTCCAGGGACTGCTTAATGCCAGAGAAGTGCCAAGCTCCATCTTTACACAGGCCCTTCAGTAATGCCCGCATTGCTCTCTACATGCCAGGCCAACCATTACACAGATATTCAAGGCAAACTATTTTTGTGAGCAGAATGTTGAAGCACACGGTATAATACTACTTGAGTTAGGACTGATGGCRCATAAGGACTTAACCACAAACAATATTTGTTTCTACAGAAAATGCTGTCCACCCACTAATGCCTGAAACAAGCATTGCAGAATTGCCACGGCTAGGGTCACAACACAGACAACTGCACACACGGACAGTCTGTTTCTTCTCAGATAACAGTCTTGCCTGTAGACTTAATTGAAGTTATTCTTCACTCCACAACTGCCCAGGAGTTGTGTGAAAGGAAAGTAGCAAGTAAGCAAAACACTTGATTGTGCTGACTGTATTGCCTTGTCAAAATACCAAAGCTCTGGTTAAGACACATATTTGGCCTCCATTTATTGTTAACAAGAAAATTGTATATCCAAAAAAAATGCAGAAACAATCCACACAAAAAAAAAGGAAACGACAGYGAAGGATGGTTTTGCCTGATTTTAACCTCAGAGTTAAGTCCAATTCAGGCATTACTTAGGATAAAGTGACAGTAATGAACTGACACTAGTTAACAATAGCTAGAAGTCAGGAAGAGCTGTGAGGAGGCTAAGTCAAATCGGGATTTTTGGAATAAGGCAAATGCATTYGAACTCCACTGAGCAGGTGCTATAGCTCTGTCTTTTCCATGTGGACTTACAAAGGTATATTCTTTTTGTAGTTTCTGGTCCAGGCTCCTTTCCACCACCCCCTGCCCCCCTTTTTTCTTTCTCATCTTCCTTTCAGCAGGCATCCTGACACAAAACGTCCCTGCTACACATTCTCTCATTGGGGATCAAGATGCCAAAAGCCTCGTATTAAAACCAAGTTTCCAGTTATAGTGCATACTCCCTTTTTCCAAGTTATTAGGATAGATGAACAAAAAGAGACTAAAAGTTAAATCAAAGACTGAAGATACTAAGAGCAAAGGATAAACTAAAAGTAGCTATTATTCACTCATGGTAYAAGAGGACTGAGCATAGGTGGTTAACGCAGAGTTCTGCTCTCTTTGGGAAAGCAGRCGGTCGGGGGCTCTTTTAGGGAACAGACTGCCAAGGCTGTAYACACAAATCTTCAAACAGATCCAGAAGCTCTATTTAGTATCTCCTAGAGTATTGTTTAGAAGSAAATCAAATAGTGATTTAAAAGTCTCCTTATGGAAAATGCTGAATAAAGTGATTTCTTCTATAAATGTATTCTGTCACTGACATGAATCTTTTGTTCTGTCCATTTCACAACATGAGAATTCTTCAAATCCATATCCACCTTTGTACAACCTTGTTTTGTTTCCCCCTTGATTTAAAATGTTTAAGTATTACCTCATGGTCACATCCTGAGCATATTAATGCCAATGAAAAGCTCCAAAGTTTTCAAGTAGATCAAAGATCAAACATCTTGGAATCAATGAGAATTAAGTCACTCACCTGGGTACTGGTTACAGCATTTGATTCTCATCTTTGTGAATTAAAAAGACCTCTTACATTAATACATTTTTTGATTAACCACTTGTATCTTAAGAGACTGTGTAGAAGCTCTAGTAGAGAGAGTAGTAGTAGAGATTTTTATTCATGTCTGGTGCCAAAAGGCCTAACTCCAAGGTTTGTATTTCTGTGAATTCATACATGCAAACTCATCACGCATGATGATGTTTGAATTTAAGTTAAAGTCAGTTATACTCAAAATGCTACTTTTGAGAACATTTTAACTCATCAGAGCTATTCTCTGGACGGACTCGGTTMAATCTGCTTTATTGGCTGGAGCCCTGATCCTGCAGGAACACATACTTAAGACTGTACCTGAACTAATCATCTTAATCAAGTCCTGAAGGAGCTGGTAAAAGCCTTGTGACAATCATTTTACTTGCTGTGCGTTTTAAATGCTKCTTCTCCTCACTGATGCAACTCCAGCTTCTCTCTGTGGGTTGCACTTTCCCATTGAAATGGGTTTGTCATGAAAATTAAGTGGAGCTTCTGGATGCCTTTGTGCAGATTCTCCTTATAAGAAAATAGATTCACTCATGATTAAGTTCAGACTGCATTAACATCTAGTTCCTCTGGAACATCCTTTATAATGTTACTTGGACTTTTTATTCACCTTCTACTAAGTTCTCTAGCCATCTCCATTAGTATTACCTTTTTGACTCAGTTGATCTCATTGTTGACATAAGCCTTTAACATAACGTAAAATTGTCCAGCTATAGGTGGGGTCAAACTCATTACCTGACTCTAGACTGTWATCCGTGTTGCGTTGGCTCCGGCCTGCCGGGTTCACCGTGAAATTGCCTGTGCCTTTTTTCCCCTGAACCGGTTTCTTTATTGCTGGYTTCACTAGTTTCTGAAGTTTGGTCATGTTGTTCCTTGCACTTTCCAGTGATACGTTAACATGCTGGGTYAAGTTCTTCAGGATGATCTCAGCTTTTATGTCAAGCACAGATTCAATAAGCTCTTTGAAGCCTCTCTGCAGCAGTGGGAYATCTGGCTGAGCAAGTTTAATTAGCACAGGAATACTGGCGTTCACTTTTTGGATGCTGCTGGTGGCATCCTGACAGAGCCCCCAGGCCTCGTAGGCAGTCCTATTCACGAGGGGCATGATGTTTGAAAAGCGGATAGACTTGGCTTCCAGGGCCTTAACCCTAGAACTCAGTGTCTGAAGCTCAAGTGAGACCATTTGCTCCTTCTCTGTCAAAGCAGCTTTGTTCCTTTTCAGCGAGAGACAGTTATTTACCAAAAACTTGGAAATTTTTGACTCCACGCTCTGGAGGCGAACCTCATGGTCCTTGGCTCCCTCAACAGAGTCCAGTAGCTTTTCCTCCAGGTGGTTGATATCTTGTTGCTGATTGTCCACTTTCGATGAAGTCTCATTTAAAATATAGTAAACTTGTCTGAAATGGTTGAGGATACTTGTATCAGATACATCATATGGAAGACTAGAAAGGGACTGAGCCACTTTTGAAATGACTTCATGCTTGTTCTTGTCTGGGAGCAGCACCTGGAGAGATTCATTCAACTGTTGGAAGTACGGAACAAGAGCCAGAAGGGTATCCAGCTTCTCGGCATTGCCACAGCAGACCTCAGTTTCATTTTGCAGAGCACTTAGGGTACCTTTCATTACATAGTTATCTTGAATAGAGTCAACAGCACTATTGATAACTATCATGGTCTTATTCAAACCGTCTTCTAGTTCCACGAAGCACTCATTAATACGGCTCTCCAGGAGTTCCTGGTAAGCCCGAGATTCATTGTTAAGTTCTTCCTGAGTTTGAGCAAGCTCCGTAATTGCTGAACTCATTTGGTTCGTGACAGTTGTCAGGTTTTCAAGCTTCTTCTTGATTGCTTCAGCTTCAATTTGTTGTTCATATTCTGAAGTCAGACTAAACGGTGCCCCTTGTTCAATCAAGGGCTGCAGAATCTCCATATCATAACACAAATCGTTAATTTGCTCATTCATTTTGTCCATTTTATTGTCCAGTGGAAGGATCAGGTCAGAGAGACTTCTGTTTAAGGCAAGAACSTTCTGCTGGGTTGCTGCCAGCTGTGTTTGGAAATCTTTTCTGCAGGCCRACAACACGTCATCACAGACTCCCCACACAGATTCTCTCTGGAACTCCAGTGTGAGGCTGAGATTACTGATCTTGCTATCCTGGACTCTCAAGTCATCATAGATCTGCAGCACCATCAGGTCCTGTGTCTTCACTTTCTCATGCAGCATGAACATGTACTCTGTCACGTTGTACTCCGCGACTTTATCTGCTGAGGGCATGTTTTGGCCTAGGGACTGTTCAGCTGTTAGCAGTCGTTCATGCACATCTTTCATTTCAGTAAGGGTCTTATTTAGAGATTCATAGTAAATGATGCTTCTTGACTCCTGATGCTCCAAGTTAGCTTCCAAGGATTTCTGCTTTASCTGTAGAGCTTTCATAGGCTTGTCACAAGTAAGGGTCATTTCCTCTTTCATCTGCACTATGTGGCTCTTCAGTTCTAGAATATCAAGCTTTGTTGGCCCACTGTCTATCTCCTGAGCAAGTTTTTCTTGGCTGTCATTCAAATGCTTGACTACTGCTTTTGCTCTTTCAAGATCTTCTGATAAACTAGACATAGACTTGAAAATTTGAGCCAAGTTTTCTTGCATTTCATTTTGAAACASTTTAAGCTGTTCTTTGACCACATCTTTGACCAATTCATTGATAATTCTGGATTTCAGACCTTTAAGAAAAAACAACAATCAAACCAATTCCATTAGTCAAAATCACCTACATGCACAACATGAGGAAACTCGCCCTGCAGCACAGAATTGAAAGGCAACAATAGTCCCTTTGGCTTTGCCATCCACGCAGCAATACGTTTGGACGTATTTAGGGGGCAGCTAATACTACCTGAAGACTTATCTCTCTAGTGCAATCAGTAGCAGTTTAGCTCCTGATTTTGAAATAGTAGATTTGGATCCTGCATATCCAGTACCARCTTCTACACACTGTAGTTCTCATGAGAAGCTTCTAGGAACACTGCTCTTAACCAACTATAGCAAGTGAGGGAATTTCAGTTTATGATCCATACTACAATGTTTCCCATTTAGTTTCAATTTGTTAAAGAGAGTCCTCCCCCCACACTTTCACTCCCCAAGAAGTGTCCATCAAGCTCCTGCATAACAACTTTGGGCTAACCAGCAATTCTGCTCCTCTTTAAGATCCCAAGATTTCTTTGACTTGTTCCCTAAAGGTAGCACCTATGTCCCATAATTTAATGTACTGCTGCACTCTTGTCACCTTTCTTTCCAAATCAGTGCTCAGGGTTCCTTTGCATCAAGCTTCTCATAAAAATTAAACATATTAAACCCTTTAACATTACAATGCCTTGATGCCCATCCATTCATATTAAAACAGTGTTGACAAAGGTAGAAATTCTCYTCTAGGCTTCATTCATTTTCCTCCCATTTTATTCTTATTACCTGGATTTTTGCCTCTTCTCTAAAATTAAAGAGCCAGTTCCAAAAGGGGAAATACATTCTCAGCAAGAATAAGAAAATTGCAGGAAATCACACCCACAAAATGTAGTGGTGGTAAATGCCTTTGCCACTTAGCAAAATTATTGCACCTCCATGGGGGCCCAAATCTAGTGGATTCCAAGTAAAAAAGGTTTTGCTCATTAAGCTGGAAAGAATTACAGTATTTTATCTCTATTCAGAGAACTCTTTTGAATTGTGTGGTTCCAGCTGGAAGCAGAGCTAGAGTAATTGATAATAGTTGCTTTTTAGGAACTGAGTCTCTTGATTGTGACTAGTAAAATAGACAGTAAACACCAGCAATGCTCAGGGGAGAAAAGTGTCACTCGCTCAGTGCTTTTTTCAAGCAGGGTATAATAGGTAGGTGCACTGAATCTGATAGCCTTGGAAAAGGTCACCAAAATAGCATCAAGCTTCTCAAGCAATACACTCAATCATTGTGAGTTGTGGTCATAGATGATTTAATGAATTTTACACAAAGTGTAGAAAACTGCCAAGTGAGAGAKAGCATTCAAGTTTTCTCAATTTTCTACTTTTATTACCATAACTAAGTCAACAACTCAAGATGCAAACATATAGAAGTGCACTCACACCTACCTTTAAGCTTTGTCATTTAACTTTGGGGGAAGTAAAAACAGTAAGATACCTGAAAACATAGGTATATTGGCAGCTGAGAAGTATCAAAAGATGGACGAAGAGCAAGGTAACTAACACAAGTGCTGTCTCTAATGATTGGGTCCTGTTACTTAACACTGCTGAAAAATACCCTGTGGTTTTAAGAGATCCACAAGTTCATCAACCAATCCAAAAATCAAAAAGTTTAATGACTACAAAAAGAGGCAAAGTTCCCCAAAGCCTTCTTTTAGGAGCTCATGGAATTTCTTCATCTGCCTCTCATCTTGATAGGAGGCATTATGCAGCAAGACGTCTTGCGCAGGAGCTATACCCTCCATTTATTCTGTCACTGAAGAAACCACCTTGCTCTCTCTCAGTCCTACTCTAAGTGAATCACAGACACTGTTTGGAACTCAGCTTCTGCTCTTCAGAGGATGTCCTTGTTATGAGGCAGGTAGACAATGACAGAGTACAAGTTCACTAGCAACTGTGGAGCTAGCTCACTTAACAGAAAATTCTGAAGAGAATTTCTGCTCTGGATGACAATTGGTGAAGTTCTTGGGTTGAGCTAATAATATATCCAAGCAAACTCATGTATGTAACTATCTTTCTATTGCTTATTTGGAAATAGCAATGTCCAAGCTACTTACCATCATTAAAAGTGTCCTGCACTTTTTATGACATGATCMATTTTAAAATTGAATTCCCTTGCTGGACTCCAAAATGGGTAATTACTTTAGGTCAACACATATTCCCTTTGCAGGTTCAACTATTCTTTAAAGGATGGTGTGCAAAGTTGTCTATGCACACAGAGGACCAAGTTACACATTCACTTGTAAATAATGTTTCTGACTTGGAAATGATTACTTCTCAATAGTTAGGTTCACTTTGTAAAGARTGTATACTGTTATTTTAATATCGAATGGAAAGAGTCCATTACAAGCTAGACATTAATGAAGGAATTAAGAAGGAAAGAATGAAAAACACCACAGAGTGAAGAGATCAAGAGACCAGATTATTTTCTCTACATAAGTGAAAAGTGAGACTGGTCTCATCACTTCTAATATTAACCTTCTTTGAATGCACATCAGGTTGTGCTAATGAATTTAAAGGAGCATATCATTTACTGCAGTGACTGTGGCCCTCCATCAACCGATGATGGATGTGGGACCAATGTCCATCTCAAAATGAAAACAAGAAATAAAGATTTGGTGAACTGTATAATTTATTCACACAACAGCTCTCAGGCCTAATGAAGCTTGATACAAATCTAAGGACCCATTAGAAATTCTGTGATAAGAAGGTAAAATAACCATGCGAGTCACAAGMAGCAAATGGAAAGGAAATGAGGAACCCTGAATAGCACAGAGCCATTACGGACTTATTCATGCTTCAGAAGGACAGCAGTAGCGGTAGGGAAGTTGTGACACCTTTTCCTTCTAGTCAGCTTCTATGCAAGCAAGTCTAGCAAGTCTGACATGTCTGTGCCGGAACATGCTGCACACCTGTACCCACCCAACCTACTAACTTTAGGATGCTCCCTATCCACTCCAAGTGGAGCAGAGTGATACTCAGTGCACAGGAACTACCACCGCCCCCTTGACATTATATAAGCTTCTTCTGACATGTTCTTCAAATATGAACTTGGTTCTCCCCTCGTCCAAGCAAGGAAAAGCTGTATTGGAGTGCCCACAAGAGTGAAGGAACACAGTTGATAGCAGCATTTTCATTAGAGTTACTTGATTAGAAGACAGGTTGACAACATAAATCAAAACACTAGCAATTGGAGATTTCTTCTAAGCAGGTAAAAAATAGGACATGGCAGATAAAAGCAATAAAGGCTTAAAACACATATGTAGGCAAGCAGGAAGCTACTCTTCTCACACCATGCATTTTAATTAGAGGTCAGAGCCAAAAATGTGGCTAGGAAACAGATAATCAGGGGCAAAGGATGCAGGAAAAGACCTTTTGGAAGAGCATGAAAATGACAGCTAGAATGAGTAAAATAGAAAAAAAAAGAAGGCAAACAAAGCAGGAGGCAAATGGGAACTATTCTATGACAAATTAAATGTATGCCCAAGGGTCAAGAATGCCATCTAGCAATATGTGGAGAGGTGAAAGGGAGTCACAGAGAGCGATGGGATAAATGTGATCGAGGGTACAACAAGAGAGCCATCTGGCCTGCAGCCCAAGCAACAAAACAGACAGAAGAGGACTGAAAATACAGGAAATGGCACCACATTTGATGGATTTGAAGGAGACAAAAGGACTATTTTTATTTCAGTTTAAGTTTRATATCAAGAGCTCCATTTCAGGCAAAATTCCAGCATAAAGAGAGGAAAAATACTGAGAAAATGAATTCAGTCCAGAGATGTTCGCTAAGCACATTTTGTGACTGAATAATAACTAGCTCTAACTAGAGGATTCAAGAAGAATGGGTCTCCAAGTCTGCTGCCCAGGCGCAGATCAGCCTTTCACTCACCAGCAATTTTTTACCTACCTGACAAAGCAGCAGTAGTTTTCACTCGAATGTTTAAGCTCACGGTTACAAATCCTGAGTAGAGTTAAACTATTACCACAGAGCCTAATTATTCAGGAGGGCGGTTGTAATGTTATTAACATAGCTACAGAATCCCTTAAAAGTTCCCCTGCTTGTGTTTTATGTATGAAGGAATACAACCAAGCAAACACTACCTCACTTAGCAGTCATCAAGTAAACCAGAAACAGATTAGAAGATTTGCAGAAGCTGTAAGCAAAACAAAATGTCTCACTAGTGACTTAGGTTGCTACATAAATAATATAGCACAAAATTATTTTTGTCACTATCATTAACAAGTTTAAGAGAAAAAACTCTATTATGGTATTAAGTTAAGGAAGCTCTCTGCACAAGTGCCAAACAATAGAATAGGACAATAACAGTGTGAACATTTTTTTTTTCCTGGCACCTTTAACTTAGTGAGTGATTATATTCATTTACTTTTCTTACCCTTTAGAAAAGGCTGGAGGTCTCTGTCCTTATCTTCATTGATTTTGCCTTCCAGAGAGGCAAGCATCTTGCTCACATCACTCATGGCAGCAGCAACCTTGTCAACCTTCTTCTGTAGAAAACTCAGTTTCATGTCCTGGTTGCTAATCTTCTCGTTCAGTTTATGAGTAAGTGCTTGGTCAGAAAACATGAGAGGGTAAAAAACACCATTAAATTGTGTGCACGTTTTGGGGCTCAAAGTATAATTGACTTGAGACATTCGCTCAAAGTAGAGTGAAAAGTTTCTGAATTATTAGCCATGAGTGAATTATCTCAATTTTTGTCATGTATCATGTATTAGTGACATTCAGCAGCACAGCAGTGACTAATTACTGAAGCTTCTGTATCCATTATAAAGTATTTATAATTCTAGAAGAGTACTTGGAATGCTTAACATACTTTAATCAGCATAATGTCAGTCTTCCTCTACCTAGCACCCTACAGGGGATTCAGTTAGCTCTCATTTATTCCATCTCCTTTAATATCATCACAAAATCATTAATTTTTACTTACCACTTATAAGATAACAACTGCATGAATTGGCAAAGCTCATGTGAAAGAGCACATGATCTCTTCAGTGTTGAGGTCAAAATAAAAACTAGCTCAACACAACAGCAGAACAGAAAAAATGCCTGAAAAGCATCTAATAAATGACTAGTGAATTTTTGTCTCACTTTAAAAAATCCAACTTGTGAAGTCCATTCCATTTTAAAACGTGCACAGGATTTTCCAGACATCTGTGGTCTCTGACATAAGAAGGGTTGGATGGATGTTTTTAGGCTAGGTATGGTCAATAAGGCCTTGATCTTGCAAATCACAGCACTACATGATTTGAGGCATCCCTGTCAATTTTAGTACTAACAGGCATGAAACTCAACCCAAGAGTTTTAGATGTTGAGAGAATTAAATGCTCTACAAAATCTCTTTGATTCTTCCAATGATTTAGCCTAATGGCCTGCTTTATACCCATAATGATACCCTGCATGTTCAGAACTGTGCTATGAATTAACATTAACTGCAAGGCAAGGCWTCTTTCAATAGTGCATGCTAATATATCCTGCTGTACATGTATTGCTATTATCTTATGTTGGTTTTCATTATAACAGGATCCTTCACCATAGCAGTGAACATTTATAATCACAAATAACATAGAAGCATAGGAGCATAATGAGAACAAGCTGCATGTAAAAGGGCATATCTTATGACTTGATTTTCCTTCTTCAAAATTCTAGTAGGCAGAAAGCAGAGAGATTCATCTCAGTAACCTTCTTGGAAACCAACAAAAAAMCCGACAATACATTAAATGCACCAAGCCCATACAGTCACATGCCAAGATCCACAGGAATACTCTCACATTGAGATATTTTGGTTGTAAAATTATTAATGGRGGAACCTGGTATCTGCTTTCCACTCTGCCCATCCAGGGTGTCTGCTGCCATAAGGGCAAAACTGTGCTAATGACTGATTTTACAAGTCTGGCAATTCTCAGCTTTGCTCAGGGTCCCCACGAGAACAAGCAACAGCTCTGCGTCCTTTGTGTGAACACTCTTCATCATAGCACTGTGCTCTGACTAGGAGGAAGGTCTAGGTAGTTCTGCTCCTGCTCAAATCRTACTGAGATAAGTTGAAGTCATTACTGGCCCAAGGCACCATCACCAAACCTGGTAACCACCATCTGCAGGGTGCAGGACCTTCCTCACTTGCATTTCTGTGCCTTCCTCTTGAAGGGAGGGGACAAGYTGCATGAACCAACCTGAACATCTGGTCTGTGTGACACAGCTGCATAGTAGGAGCTCAAAAGGGAATCTAGCTCAGTGGAGCAACACACCAGGACTGGTGGAGAGGTCTGGGCTCAGACAGCACTTGCAAGGCTTGTAAACAGAACAGGAATCTCTCATCCAATCTCATTAAAAATCACTCAAAGGCAATTAATGCAGAGCTCTGACATGCCAATTTTCAAGTCAGCTCTCCGAGCAGAAATGCTACTAAAAAAAGGCATGTTTACTTCCATGCCATATCGATGGCGCTCACTATCATATGGGTCCTGATAGCTTGGCAACTTCCAGTGCTAAGGAACTTGTTATTTTTTTTCCTCCTTCCATTTAAGATGGCCTTTCTGCATCTCCATCCTGCAGTCTTTCCCATCCCAGACTAAACTTGCTCATTTTTCCTTGTCTGTTACTGAAGAATAACACATATATGGCCATTAACAGACCCATCTACTCTCTCTTTAGAACCACAAGTCTGGATTCAGACTCTTCACTACATGCACGAACACTGCACTGAGCTCATATCTACAAATGGAACATATAAACCTAAATGTAGTTTGCCTCATTATTTGGACCAGTTGTGTGAGGGACAAAAACTGTARAATGTAGAGTACAGAAGAGGCTAGTGTAGACATCTATAATCCAAACACCAAAGGATCAGAAAAGGAAGGTAATGGGGAAGTTCAAGGAAGCTGCCTGTTTACCTGAGGGTCTTTCACCTGCTGTTCCTCTTGGGGCCCTCACCACACACACTACCCAAGCTTATTTGCTGCTATATAAATAATATAGCCAAATCATTTACAGTTTTCCACAAAACCTTATTTGACAAATGCAGTTTCACTCACTGTAGGTACATATTTTACAAGTAGAGAATGTTTTTCACATTTTCTTATTTCTATTTCTTGTATTTCTTTTGTTACTTTATCACATKATATGCTCATTATTAGCAGCTCTCTGAATACAAAGGCTTTAGAACTAAATCACCGTGCATTACCAACATCTCTACATCCTTGAAAATAAACCTTCAGGATATACTGTCCCAAATATATTGGAGTCTATCAATTACTTGACTTCATCTAGCTCATATGTCTCCTCATGTTTCTTTATAGGGAATGCTTGATATTTGACTTCTTAGTTAATTAGACTGATCTCACAAATCACATTATTGTTTCTGCTTCCAGTTTAGTGAGTGTGCAAACATGTCTGGTGTGAACAAAATTCTCTTCCTATGAATGCTTATGCAGAAAAATGAAATTAATTTTCTGGAGCATTTGTGCTGGTAAACTTTAAATCACACAGATGGTAATGGAAAATAAATATAAAGGGAAATAAAGGGAAAGAGCACACCCAAAAACTCAAGAGACAGAAGCAGCAGCTTTTCATGCAGCAGTCGCCTAAGTTAATATCTCAGGGGAAAAACCTTGGGCTAAAAGCATTATTGTCACTGACCAGCTCCAACAGTGCAGAACTCTACACACACAAAAACATCGATGAATATGCTCCAAAACCTTGAAGTCTAGACAGTGGTAAACACAGGAGTGGGGAGATGAATGCTACAGTTAGACATGATCATATAAACATTTGCTATAATTGTTTCATCATCCTCAACTATTCTGTGATTCTTGGATCATCCTACAGTAGCTGAAAATCAAGTTGAGCTACCCTGGCCAGAGTTGGAAGAGTCACCACACAGTACCAATTTCAGAAATAYCAATCTTATCAAAATTGATTCTAACAGCAATGATCATGTCTTCAGATAATATAATTAACTCCAGTTTCTKGTATGCTGCCATGCTCAGGTATACGGCTACTTCAAGATATGTTACTCTAATGTGAATTCATTTGTTCCATCCAGTAATATAATGATTTAAGTCTCCTTATGCAGCATTATTTTCACTATTTTTATTAGCTTAGCTATAAATACTCTAACTGCTGAACTATAAAACCAGTTTCTTATCCCTAACTTCCTCAGAAATGAACTACTGAAACATAACTACCAGAAAACCCAAACATTCTCTTCATGCAAGTCTCTTCAGCAGGCAGGGATTTTTCTTAAATTATTTTTGCAGTGATCCGAGTCACATGCTCTGAAGATGACAAAAATAATAAGAGCTGACCTTGCTCGCTGGGGTCCTGGGYAGCTCCTGATGCTCTCTCACTGACAGTTATGCTGCTTTCAGCCTGGTTGCTATGTATAAGCAATTGCTGTTGAGCTGAAAAAAGAACAAAGGAAAAATACAAAGAAAAACAAAGGCAACACTGAACATGACAACTGCCTTCTCTCTATTCCATGCCATTTCCAAAGTCTAATTGTTTGCAGTGATTTTGGTGTTACCCACTKAGTTTATCTCTAACATACTGTGGAGCCAAAGTGATGAAGATAAAGGTGAAGGGAAAGGTTTTCTAAGGTGCCTTCCTGAGATTCTAGTTGCTGGCAAATTGCAGGGGTKGGTGTTAATACTCAAAGGTCAAAGCTTGCCTTAGAGCAAGCAGAACTCAAAAWCTGCCCGGGCTAAAAATGCTTGATATTATTAGATCAATATAAAATAGCACTAAAATACATTCAGCATACAGACTGTCAGCTCCAAATCTGATTAAATGTTTTCCATAGGTATCACATTGGCTAAGTTTGTTGAAATTGATTTTTTGTGGATTACACAGAAGGTCAACCCCAGAAGCTGCTCACGGGAGGCTGCAGTGACATTACGTCTCTGCAGCACTCCGGGAAAAAATTACAAAACACAATCACATTCCAAGAAATGTCATTGGAGATTTGCAACCGATTGGAGTTGCARAAGGTCCCAGAGAAGTTCACAAAAATAGAGGCAAACTATGTCAGTGTTGAAGCTGGAGCATTTATACACACGCACACAAAAGAACTGGTGGGGCTGGGAATCAAAATTCAACTTCCACCCTCCTGACTTCCTTCTCTAATCATTAGTCTTAACTCTATCCTCTTTCAGTAATGCTGAACAAAATGAAACAGGTAAAAAGCATGCAGTAAATGCGCTGGTATAAATTCATACTAATAAAATCATACAAATTTCCATTCATACCAATTTGTATCTGTTCAGTTCACAAAGCCTTTTTAAGTGGATATTCTTCTATAGCAGGAGCCGATCTAAGGGATTCCACTTCAACTGATACAGTTTCTACACTMAAGTTTATAACTGCAACAGGTGAACTTGATGTGGGGACACTGCAGCCCAAGCACTAAGAACCTAACCTGGCTATCATGTGAGTTTCCAAGGAAACAGAATGAGATGCTGAATCAAGAAATTTGCTACATAGCATCAGCTTCTTGGCAGTGTTTAGAAGGATCAATAGATTATACTTAGGGATGATATGTTTGAGGTTGTAAATTAATGAAAGAAGAAAGAATTAGGACAGGGACTCATCACATTAAATGATTATACGGACTGGAATTCTTACAGCATATATAGCAGTAGACTGGTTCAACAAAAACAAAACATCAAATGTTTACAATTTCAGCAGCTTCTGTTACATTTCTGTGGCCACAATTGTTGACAGGAGTTTAACATCAGCATTCAGCCCACCTCCTTACAGAGGATTTWTCTGTTGGTGATGTGATGATACCASCTATGACAAGGGAGTTGGTTACTTGCCTGCGATAAASACCAGCCGATCAATGTCATTTTATTGTTCCATTTACCAGCTTTTCCRGCCCTCACTCCTTCCCCACCCCGCRTATCTACCCCTTAGCATGCTGCATACTGAGGCTCTCTATATTATACATACTATACATTATCCATCCTAGCTTTAATCCCTCCCTCTTRGGTCACGTGCCTAATCCACAGCTTCAYAGCACAGAACTCCAAAGCTCTTAGGGTCCCTTTTATTCACTTGTAGAGTTTCTAAAATATTTATCACCACATGCTTGCTTTTCTAATGCTTTAAACTGTCCAGGTAACTTAGCCTCTGTAAAACAAGAGGCACTGACATAGCCTTGTTAGAGCAAGCCAGCAGTATCGCTGATGCGTTACCCTGCTTTGAACACAAGCAGGGACTGCAGCCCCAAATGTGCCTGCACATTCCCTTGCAAAAACAAGACAAACTGCAATATTGGACAACTATGGAACAACATAACCACGTGGCAAAAGTACTGCTTAGACAACCCACAGAAAAATCAGTGTAGCCCATTATGAAACAACTGCAGACCAGTCAATGGCAATATAGCTTCTCTTTGYATTAAGTTGTTAAAAAACATTCATCTAATACACCTCAACTGTTTTCCAAATGAGCCACCTTGAGACAGTGGTCACCACCCCAGAKGGTGATTAAGTCTAAGGTCCTGTCACTTATTGGTCCTGCCACTGAGATCCCCATCCTGGATAGGAAAGAGCAAGAGATATGATAAGATGACCAAACTGAATCTCCAGTACATGTATTCCTTATGCTAGATATAGTAAATAGATGGCTTACATTTGAGCACATTTAATAACTAAACATGCTACTTCATATAAGTAAATATGCTATTTACTTTACATGCATTACATGTATGTGAACATGCTATTTCAGTGTAAGCTAAAGCTTCAGAAAACTAGTTAGACTTATGAGTCTCTTACAGGTCCTACTTAAAATGTAAAAAAAACAAAAAAAATAACACCCCTCCCCTGTATTTTGCAAGTGCTGAACCATGAAAGGTGTTCCTGTTCCTCCAGGAATTCCAGAGTATTCAGCACTTCCTATGCACAGAGAAATCCTATGTTAGGCTCCTTGTCCTCAATATATTGCCCTAGATATATAATTTGTTGTCCCATGTATTTTTAAACACGTAATAATCAAAATAATGTCAGGGAATATTAAAAATATGGAAATGGGATCTTTTTTCCGCAATATATTTTTGATGAAGCAGTAGCAGCCAAAGGGGAAACACTGGGGGAGTCGGGGAGTTCCCTCRCACTCTGCCTTGCAGCCCCCGGGTGTTGCACAGGGAGCCCCGACCCCGGTGCGCGCAGGGAAGGCGCCCGCCCCCGAGCAGGACGTTTTGGAGCCACGTGCTGGACCGCGCGCGGCACCACGAGCCGGCAGGACAGCGCCAGCAGCGGCTCCGACCCCGCCAGCAGCCCCGGGAAAGGGCCRCGCGCTCCCAACCGCAGCAGGCAGCAGGGAAGTGACTCCAGGCRCGTGGAGTCACCGCAGCTTCCCCCATGGCACTGCTGACCTGGCACGTGAAAATGCATATCCTTCCTTCTGAAACCCTTTGGCACATGAAACTGTACGTAGACCATACAGGCATGAGCAAAAAGAGTTCTTAGACCTCCCAAGACACACTTAATAGACATTCRCTCTGGAGTGACCAAATGGAAAGTTTAAATAATCTGCATTCTCTAAAAAAAGAAATGTGATGAATGGTGCAGCTCAGAACTCATAAAGACTTGGATTTCAACATTTGATATTCCTGTAACAAATTTTGTCKAATGTTTCAGATGGTATCCAATTTACCTGCTTAGTTCTAGTAGTATTTTTACTAAGTAATCTATGCCGACATCGTTCCTCGTTTAACACCACACTTTGGTACAACTCCATTACCCACTGAGCTAGGATCCACGTCACCCCCATTGGGTCACGGGCCCCCACACATCCAACAGGGTTGGAGCCCACAATTTGAAGCCATCTCTTCGCAGAGGCTCTAATCTCCACTAYTATGTTACCTGCAGAAACCTTTGTAACCAAGCAATTGCAAGAAGGACACCAGTCCTAGTTAACAAACATCTCATYGCTATCAGATGGTGACTATATTTTTCCTGTTTAGACAGTCACAGTGTAGTCACTGAGCACAATAACTTGGAGAGAAAACCAGAAGGAGTTTCTACCCTGGTGGTTGTTACGACCAGCCCATATCATCACAGGGRTGCTGCCCCAGCCAGCAGAGCACCCGTTGAGGACATCCCAGCTCAGGAGCCAAGGAGCAGGCAAACAGCCAGGCTGGTGTCTGGCACAGAGGCCAAGGGGAGGACACAGCAGAGCAGCACGTGTGGAGCTGCTCCCGCAGCCAGGCCTGCTGGGACCCCAGCTGCCGCCTGTGCTAGCTACAGTGCCACAGTGGGAACAGACCAGGGCAGCGCTGGTGGCCCCTCCTGCCAAGAGGCCACCTTCTAGCAGCAGAAAGAGGAGGATTTCTGACATAACACCTTTCATCCCAATCTCTTTAGGCACTTCTACAAGCATTAATTAAATCTCCCAGTGCCCCCGKGAGATAAGTGTGATCTCAATTTTCTGTMAGAGTAAACTTGGGCATGCAGATAAGTGACTTGAACAAGTTGTTCAGCAAGTCAGAAAAGGTTTGAGAAAAGAAACCATGAGATCTATTTTCAAACTCATAGCTGTAACACACTCCATGACATATAATCCTTTTTCTCTTATTTTTACACTACATCCCCACAAACTATTATATATCCTCTCCTGACCCATGTTTCCCTGTTGTTTTGATGATATCAATTACATCAATTCTTGTCTCCCCTCCACTTTTTAGGTGATATTAAACCCACTTGTCCTAATCCTTGTGCATTTTTCCCAAGCCAGCCTTTCAGCCATTTGATCCTCGCTCACTGGACAGCCTTGCKCACTGAGCCCCACACTAACAGCTGACTCCATGCTTAGCTGCACAGGAAAGAATTTCGTGCCTGCTGAGCATCTGTCTCCTGCATTGATATTTCCCTCCTGGATGTGAATAACAGCGATTTCTCTTCATTCCTCTATATTAATTTTTAATCACAGCCTCTACTTTGCCACTGCTGATTGAATTCCCTACCACATCTAATGGCCTCTCTTGTAATATTCATTCATTTAAAGTGTGTACGCTGATGCCATATCTTATTTTTCAAGGGCAGCCTGTTTAAGTCCAGGAGCAAAGAAATAGCTATTATACATATCTTAAACRACAGTACATTGCCATATGCTTGATCACCAGGGCAAGGGTAAAACACTCCATTTCATCTGAAAAAGGCACAATTATTCAAGGATCATGCCTTACACCATGTTAAATTCTGTCACTGTTGAACAACATGCTTACCCAATTCATAAAGAAACAAGATTGGCACATTATTTTAATCACATCTAAAGATATTGYTAGAATCTGAATATGAAAGCCAAAAGCATTATAATGGTGCAGATTTTTTATAGCAAGCATTCACTSGAGGATCTACATTTATCATCTCCGAGCCTGTAATGCTCAATAACARAAAGGTCACCAGTATTGAACCGTTGAATGCAAACTCCATATTTTGGCATAACAGTCAGGTTCAAGATGAAAGATTCTTTTTAGAATAGAAAAAAGGAACTCTTGATCTAATTTGGGAATTCATGCAAGATGCACAGTCAACATCCCAAACGGTTTTAGCCTATTCTGCATTTTTKCCTAGCTTGCAATTAACAAAGAGCCATACCCATTTCAAGCAGASCCATTTACTCTCAAATCACACCATTTCAAATCAGGACTCACTCACTTTTGGGCTGACAGTTTTGTCCACTGTGCCCAGGGCAACACTTCCACTCCAGGGACGTCACTATTTTGTGTTTGATTCTGTAGGCTTGGAGCGTTGCTGYCTGAGACCTGCAAAACAAAAACATTTTCCAGCTCCTCTAGGTAACTGCAGAGGAGCTGCCGGATACATACAGAAATACCTTATATGTTCTATCATGTGAGCTGTACTCTAATTGCTTTAAAGTAAAAGCTTRGGGCTTGGTGTTTCAATAGTAACTAGAATTTTCAAGTAGCAGTCTCTCTATCATCTGGATATTTAAAGAACCCAATGTTTATTTCATCGGGCTCCTTCCCTCATCAAGTCCAACCTTTTTTGGAGGTGCTAAATACTACCAATTGTTATGCAAGATACTAYTGACTAAACTGGAGAGACAGAGCCAAAAAATTAATGTGAAATCCTGGCTCCTGTGAAATCAGTGATTAAGCCTCTGCTGCTSTCTGTGTAGGACTAAGCTTTTCACAAGGGCTTTACACCTTGTAAGTTGATTTTAAAGAGATTCTACACACATCAAACTCAAAATGTGGGCTTATGCAGTCCGCAAGCCAGCTGAAGGATGTCCAGCTGTACAGTCAGAAGGCTTCCGTTGCTASTATCAAAATAACTGGACACACAAGAAAAAGCAACAGCAAGCATGCTTGCCAGTTAGTAAGTTAAAGACTAAATTAGAATAAAGAATATCATACAGTTCCAGCAGCTGCTAAATGCCATTATGGAAGACACATTTAAAAACCAACAAAATGGCAAGCTAAAAAATGCTACAGAACCTCTGGACTCTCAATTTCTATTTAAATCATTGCAGAAAGAATCTAAATTTCAAGACCACTGCCAGCTATATCACACCAAAAAATATCTTCCTAATGAATTAMAATTTGCTAGGTTGCTTTCCACTGCAGTTAGTTTCCCACCTTTMCACAAGGGATGCAGTCTTACCTTTAAGTTTACAGCACCTGGCAGGAGCTTTGCATACGCCCTGTCATCTTTAGCACCAAGAAAAGCCTTTTTCAATAGYAACATAACAAGAAAGAGAAAAGGTGAACTGAAAGTGGGAGCTCTTGCCAATTCCCTTCTGTCRGGATAATCTTCCAGGTGTTCCATACTTGATATTAGCCCAATCCATTCCTAAATGGACTCATAAAACCTCAAGTATTCATGCAAAGAATTAATCAATAATGGCTCCTCCATTTTACATTTTTTTTAATAGACAAGCCCCAGAACTGTATACAAGAAATTTCTTAGAAACACCTCAAGAAGCYTTTTTGTTACCAAAATCAACATTATTCTAAAGATCAAATAGGGGAGAGGGCCAAATTGCAATTGCTGGACATCACAATTGAGGGATTGTTCTTGGCTCCAGGTCAGAGTCCCTAAACACTACAGCTAAAATATTCCAGGTTTCACRTTAAAGCTTTAACTTAGTTCTGCCATACTACCTAGACAACAATTCCCAAAGCAATCTTACTGACTGGTGAGATGCTTTTGAAATTAAGAGACAAATATTTCACAATTTGGGTTCTGTTGCTGTTTCAAGCTGCTATTTTCCAGGTTCATATTTAAATCCAACCTCCTTTACTGAGGGCAGCACATATCTATGAATGCAATGAGACACCCAAACCACAGAAGACARCACAAATGTTCAGCACAATCTTTATTTACAAGTTAAGTCTGGGCCSATTACTCTCCTAGGTTTGCTGCATCAGCAACAAAGATCTAGCAAAGATAAACATCCCAGCATATAAATAAGAACATTTAGGCTGTTTAGGGGAAGCCTTATGCTCTGACAATACACAAATCGGAGAAGCTGCAGGCAGGAGGGGATATTCTTTCCCACATGTACTTTCAATGCTTGCTGCRTCAACTGCTTTCTTGCAGGATATCAAAAGATGCAACCAGCAGTGGAATCACTTGAAGGCTTAACACAAACCAGAAAATGCCAGAGATTGGGACACCCCTGGAGCATTTCCCAGAGAAGCTTTTATGTCATGTCTGCCCCTTATTAAAATGCRACCTGAGGTGGGTAGCCTTCTCTCCACTCCTCTCTGCACTCTCSTTGCACAGGAAAAACCCAGGTAGGAGTGTGGGAACACCAGGAACCACAAGCCACTCCAGCAGGCTCCAAGCTGCCTGATCTGAGCTAAGTAAATGCACCAGGCCACCTTCTGCACTTAAGAATTGCATGGAGCTCAAGAGATTATACAATTTAACTACACCAGCTTTATTTTATAAACTTAGTCCTATATACAAGATAAAGGGAGAAGACAAGACACAACTGTATTTTTCATTTGACTGTGTTAATTCAAAATCATTCTTGTTTTCACTTTAAGTCTCATCTGTCTGTAGTCAGTTGATGATAATTACAATTTTTGCAATACTCTTYCTTGCCAGTTCTACATACCTCTGAGCACAGGATCCAGCCAGCCAAGTGCAAGGCTTGGCTCTGCCTGATGAGAAAGTTTCCAGGTTGTCCACTACTACTGTAGGTACAAGTCTGGTGTGGACATAAGCACACCAGCTCCTGTGGGAGACAAAGCAAATAGCATACAAACATTATCTGCCAAAACATGATAAAGACAATAGTTTGAAAAAAGATTAATCCCAYAAATAAGGGATAGAAAAATATGAAAATTAAGTTTCATTTCTCTCAAATTGCTAGAGTAGTCTTGCCCAAGACATTTAGTCTTTGTGCTTCAGCTAGCCACAAAGAAAAAAACAGCTCATCATTTTTTCTACCTCTGCATATTTATATTGCCAATTTAAATCTTTCTTTGTAAATGTTTGTACTCAGTACTTTCTAAAGAGGCTTTAAYAGACTGCAGTAATAACAGGTCTACATACCCATAACTATCCCTCCTATTTTTCAGACRCACATACCTACTTGGCCTCCCTTCCCCAGGCAGGACCGAGTACATGGAGATTGCAGAGCTCTTCTGCACTGCCCTCTGCAGCCCAAGCCAGACTCAGCAGGAACACACCACAGCTCCCTGCCAGACTCAGCCTCTGCACCTTCCCCTCTTCTCCTCCTCCCACCAAAMTAAGCCACATACCAACTGATAAAACCCCACTGCAGGACACAACCTGAGCACTGGCAAGCATAAGGCCAATTTTTGAAAAGATTAAGGAGGCTGCAAGAATTTACAAGCTGTTAAATCTGATTTCAAAATCAGGCACGCTGGTAAGAGCAATAGTGAAGAACAGAATTAAGTGGTAATTAATGGCATAATGGCCAGTAAAAGATTTTGTATGGCAAAAACATGCCACAAAGGTATTAGCATTCTCCAAGTCATCAGCAAGTGGCTAAAGGGGAAACTCCAGAGGCTTCTAGCAAGGCCACTCACCAAAAGTCCTTAATGAAGTACATAGCTGAATAATGAAAAACATTATGTACTACTGTAGATTTGCAAGTCATTAACTGAAAGCAGACAGACCTAGTCAATTCTCAAGAAAGGGTTTTATCAGCAAAATCCCACCTGAATATGTAACAGACATACTCAATGATGGGGAAAGTAGTCCAATAGCTTTCTGTACACAAGATCACTTGGATAAGTCCAAAACTGATGACAAAAATGCTGGAATCTCATGATACTAAATTGCCAACTAAGTGGCAGAAAAGAGTCACAAAGCAGGCAGTGCACAAGGGCACGTTTATGCKTACAATAAGACAACGCTCATATGAACCAGCTACAAAAACCAGGTTTTAGAGCCRTTGTGAGCATCTTGTTGAATATTTCAAATGGGTAGTTTGCATTATTCAAATTAGCATGTCAACTGCTTGGAATTATCACAGATTCACAGAATATTCAAGGTTGGAAGGGACCTCTAGAGATCATCTAGTCCAACCTTCCTGCTCAAGCAGGCACACCTGCAGCATGTGGCACAGGGCGGCATCCAGGCAGGTTTGGAAGACCTCCAGAGTAGAAGACTCCACAACCTCCCTGGGCAGCCTGTTCCACTGCTCTGTCACCCTAACAGTAAAGCAGTTCCTCCTCATCTGCAGACAGAACTTCCTGTGCTCCAGCTTGTGGCCATTACCCCTCATCCTATCGCTGGCCACCAGTGAGAACAGCTTGTCCTGTTCCTCCCTGCATTCTCCCTTCCTGAACTTATATATATATTAATCTTATCCCCCTCTGAGCCTTCTCTTCTCYAGAGAAAAGAGAAGGCTCAGAGAAGGCTTATGAATGAAGAACAGAGAAAAAAACAGAAACCACTACTCTTTCAGTACATGAATGCTCGTTTCCTGTACAGGAAGTTCTTTAACTCACATTTTGAATAGAGAACACAAGTTTTATTCCTGTATCCTAGAAGAAAGATTCAAATTGAAAAGATGGATACAGGTGGAAAGGGTAAGTAAACTACTAGAAAAAAATCTCTATGAGATGTTAAGCAGGGCTTGACTTTTTCAACCTGGAAGATCTGTGGGACAGGAAATCAGGAAAGTCATTATTTACTCTCGGTCATAACACAACATCAAGAGGTATGGAAACAGACAAGTCTAAAATGAACAGGAAAAAGTGCTTTTCATTGAACTAGAACATGAGCCAAATTTGGATGTTGTAGAAGACAAAGCAAGAACAAAACAGGTAAGGATTTCATGAAAAAGGATTCTTATGGTTCTTAGATGTAAGGATACAGGTATAGTCTCTAGTTCACCCCATCCCTTAGCTGCAGGCAGATTGGAAAGCATGCTGAAAAATAGCATYGCATGTTTATTCTCTCATCTCTCCYCCTCATAACCATTTCCTGGCTTGTACTTACAGAGCACTACTGATCTGGCCATTCCTGGGGTCACACGTCATGCCCCTGTCCATGCTGAGACATATTTAGTTTTTGACCAAGCAACCAAGKGCTAAGTTCTGTATGACTGGTGAACCTGCCAACACTTCTGCACCACTTGCAGTACCTAAAATGTGCAAGAACAGCAAGCTTGCCTTCTACTGCCACACATGGACCACACTATTTACTGCAGTTCTGTTTCATAATTAGGTAGAGGGGAAAAGAATATATATATTTGCATTACCCATGGAACCCTAAAAATGAGTATTTTATCTCACCATGGAAATCAAAAACAGTTGCTGAAGTGAGCTCTGTTTACTTAATTAGCATTGCTACAGACTTGCACTGCTCCAAGTGAGAGCAGGAATTACCCAAGCGCCTGCTTTTGCCTTCTGAGGCCCCGTGCTCTACTCACATCAGATTCAGTAGGGCTTTATTTGGACAAAAAACTTTCCTGTGAGAACCTCAGGATAACCTCACAAGATGTTAAGGGAAACCAYTCCAGTGAACCTGTAGGTATTTGTCATCATACCAGGCTGCTCTCTTATACAAGACACATGGTTCAGTYGATGAATAATGCATTCCACGTGAGAGTTTTTCTTATTGTTATATCTTTGATCAGATCTCACCCACTCGCCCTCTAGTTCCTCGAGAGTTTCCATTAGGATAATTCTTTTAACTGTATATAAGGAGTCCGGATTTTTTTCCGATGCTTCTTTTCGGTTCTTAGTCCTCTGGTTATGCCCTTTTCTCTAGTCTCTATATTAGAAACACCATGACCAAGGGCTTGCCAAAGACACAATTCACTCTGAACCATAGTATTAAAGACTCTGTCAAAGTCAAAGCCACCTTAAGGTGTTTAATGGACATAAAGCAAAGAGCATCGAAAGGCTATTTATCCCTTTTAAGTCTCCCAAATAKATAAGGTTACCTGCAGTAGCACTGKGGTTGGTGCATACAGCTCACATACAGTCTCCTGTAAGCTGCAAGCATTGGCTATTAATAGCACTAACTCAAGAATCACATCTTCAGAAGAACTTGATCAACAGCTCAGGACACAAATTAAACAACAGGGAAGAGAGCATAATGATCCACAGCAGCACCTCCCCRATGATAAAACAGGTATCTCTTCCCATTCAGCAATCAGAACAGGACACCCTAAGGCAGCTGCTGGACTCCAAACAGTGAGCAGCATGACCCAAAAACCCAGCTCTTCCTAAGCACTTTCTTGCTCACTATCARGGAGCAGCAGATGTATGACTACCACCTCAAAGAAAGCAAGTGGGAAGCCCATTGGGCTACAACATAAGCCAGACACGAAGCTCACTGAGAGGACCCAGTCCCACAGCACCTGAGCCAAGTGAGCAGAACCGCCCCATAACAAACACTCTGGCAGCCCAGTGAACATCTAGCTAAGACCMCCTCACAAAGCTGAGCTCTCCTTCAAGCCACAAAAGTCAGAAACTGAGGAGCAAAGCTAAGCACAAACACCCCTACAACATAACTCCCCAACAGAATAAAGGGCCACACCTGGCTTTAAATAGAGCCCAACCAGGGTGTGTGCAGAGGTTCCAGGTGAGGCTSTTCAGGGCAATTAAGACCTGTTACCACATTTGGGCATCTGACAGCACCTTCAGTACWACAAACCTTGGGCCTCATCCCTGCCTAACTGCAGCAAGGTTTCTGCATCTTCATACCTGAGAATAAAACCTGTATTTTTCTCTGAAGCACAGCAAGGAGGTTAAAAAAGACTCTCAGTGTAAAAATGGAGTATTAAAGATCTTCTATAACAAACACAAAAAGACATAAGAGGCTAGGCTGGCTTACATAGAAGAGTTCTGACTAAAAGTGGAAGTTTGCCTGTGATTAAACCTCTGTGGTACAGAATCCCAAATCCAGATTCACGAATAATTCTTGACCAACAATATGGAAAGTCTGATCAGAAGATGCCCACAGTGACATTCATTACCTCTTGTAATATCCAGCAAGTGAGGAACAACAAACTAGCACCTCGGACAGTTAAGTTCCCTAAGTTCCCATCCATAAACTGAAGTTCCAAAAACAGTGATCAGATTTCAAACTCCAACAGTAGTGGTTCTTCCCAAACAGTAATGAACCAGTGCTGTAGCTGGGGTCTTGATTTGAGCTCCCAGCTGCTTATACCCACACATGTAGGGCCATACAGCTCCCCAGAGAAAGGGGTAAAGCAAAGCMAATAGAGCCATGTTATCAGGGCAGATCCTTTCTGTGCTGCATATTGCTGAAAATTTCTGATAACATGATCCGTTTATATCTAAGCAAACACTATCAGTGGAAAGAGAAAACAAAGCAGACAAAAAGCTCTTGCAAAACACATGAAAGGCCTGGGAACATAGGCATTTTTCTTTAAATCTACTTTTAACATGTAAACTCACTAATTATCATAATGAAGGAGAGTAACTAACTTGAAAGTAACAGCATCTTGCCAAAGGGMAACAGCAGTACAATGCCCCCCAAATATACTAGCTAAGGGTTGCTGTTGTTTCTGGAAGACAGTCTGATTCCATCTCTGATGTCCACAAAAATTTAACTGAACTTGACTAGACGGTTTCTATTTAAAATGGTTAACTCATTCTTAGGCTACATGAGCACCATGTCTGAAGCTGCCGTTCTCACAGGCTGGCATCCTTTGATCACACTAAATTGGAAAAAACATCCACGGCAAAAGAGCCCCTGGTGATTCATAATTAGGTTTGTGCTACC